TTCCGACACCCTTCCCTGGCCAGGACTGGCGTAGTGTTGGCTCTTGCTTCCTTGCCTCTTCCCTCCTTTATTGCTTCTTCTCCTCCTCCTCCTCCCCTCCGGAGCTCACGGCTATGTATAGACTGACGTCACACTCTTGCTTAATGATGTCATCACTCACCTCTACCAACTGCCATCTCCTCCCTCCCCCCTTCTCTCTTCCTCTTATATCTCTACGTATCTTTGTCTATTTGTGTACGTGTGTACATATCAGTGTGAGTGTGAATGGTTGTTTGTGGTTCACAAGTGAGATAAGATAGAGATGCCTGTTAGGGGATTAGTCTTCCTTTGCCAAGATATCTTGTCTATTACAGTAATAATGTAAATTTGTTATATTAACTGTAACTGCCAGGTACCTCTTTACTGCTAGGTGTGTACCTCTTACTGTATCAGGGTGAAACTCGACTTGAGAATGGTCCAGGACGGACCGAAACGTGGTCGTCCCTTCACCTTCTAGTGTGTGGATTAGTCAACATACTTGAGCCACGTTATTGTGACTTCGCCTGCATCAGGATGAAAGTGTTCCACTGTGTTGGTTGTTGACGTGGTACAGTTTGTACAGACTAGTGTACAGTAAAATATGTAGTGGATTAACCTTACCAAAAGCGTCCAAAAAGCTAGCAAGCTAACCCACCAGCGCCGATAAGCGCTAGTATCTAGAAGCCTCATTACGAAAGTTAGAATTTTCCTAAACCACGGCAGTTTTTAAGGTCGGGTCGATTGCGTGAACCAATGTAGTGGGTTAAGTAGGAGGGGTTGTTGCCATGGTGATTATTGGTGTGGTGCTCTTGTTCATTGTTGACCACACCACACACTACAAGGTGAAGGGACGACGATTGCGTGAACCAATGTAGTGGGTTAAGTAGGAGGGGTTGTTGCCATGGTGATTATTGGTGTGGTACTCTTGTTCATGTTGACCACACCACACACTACAAGGTGAAGGGACGACGATTGTGTGAACCAATGTAGTGGGTTAAGTAGGAGGGGTTGTTGCCATGGTGATTATTGGTGTGGTACTCTTGTTCATTGTTGTGTAGCAGGAGATGTAGAGAGAGAAGTTAGGAGTGGGACGTCATCCACGCCCCCAGAATAATTAGTCACGCGGCAACCATCCACACATGTAAACAAACCCATCCCACCCTCACAAATTATTACAATCAGTAAATGGAAATATCTTATCTTGAGGTTATCTTGAGATGATTTCGGGGCTTTAGTGTCCCCGCGGCCCGGTCCTCGACCAGGCCTCCACCCCCAGGAAGCAGCCCGTGACAGCTGACTAACACCCAAGTACCTATTTTACTGCTAGGTAACAGGGGGCATAGGGTGAAAGAAACTCTGCCCATTGTTTCTCGCCGGCGCCCGGGATCGAACCCGGAACCACAGGATCACGCGTACAGTGTTCTGTCCGCTCAGCCACCGACTCCCCCCTGTAGTAAATATGAGGAAAGATGTGAAATTGTGTAGAGTATTGAAGAAAAGTTGGAAAGATGTATGAGTTGTCCTTTCAAGTGAGGCATGCCAAGCCTGTGGTGACACACTTAAAGTCTAAGAGCTTACTCTCAAGTGGAAGTCCTTGCACTTAGGACTGGCGAAGTTGACACTTAGCACTGGCGAAGTTGACACTTAGCACTGGCGAAGTTGCTAACGGGGAGAATGTGCAGGAAACATATACTGCCAGACTGCGGTTCCAGGCCAGGGGCCGGTGATTGATTGATGAAGATTAAGCCAGCCAAAAGGTGGCACGGGCATGAATAGCCCGTAAGTGGTGGCCCTTTTGAGCCATTACCAGTATCAAGAGCTGATACTGGAGATCTGTGGAGGTGCAACTGCACCCTGCGTGACGGGAGATGTCTCCCGTGTGTGGCCGGTGGAACACTTGTCTGGGGACCTACCAAACATTGTAGCTGCTTCACACCTGTCTGGTTTAATATGAGGACTCTTGTAATACACATGAGTCCATGTCTCACGTGTTGACCCGTATGTGTTCGTGTGTTGTCTTAAGTCTCTCCTCAGACTCGCGCCCCCCCCCCCCCCCATGTCCTTCCTTCCCATGAGGTAGTCTTGGTTTCCTATGTTCATCCATGTTTCTTACCTCACCCTTTCACCTTCCCTATTCTTATGTTGCCTTTATCCCCCCCTGCTCTTTCCCCACTGTTCGTTATTGTCCCGTCTCTATGAAAAATTCTTTACCCTGACATCTGAATTTTCACTTGACCCTTCAATTCCTCCCTGACCTGGTCATTTTTATTGACCCCGCGCTTTCCTCGACTCATTTTCCTGGAAACTTTCCCCCCTATAGAGCCATACATGCAGTCTTTCTCCTGACCCGCTATTATTCTTCCCCCACCCCCTTGGCCGCCCCCCATCTTCCTGCTGGAGCAGCAGTCAACGTGACACCGCCACTCGGCCAGGAATGTTACGGAACATCCTAGTTCCTGGGAAGTGTTTGTCCACGTCCCTTTCTCACGCTCCAGGTGTTGGGTAGAGTGGCCCTCTTACCCGAGATCTTCCTCGTGTAGGCTCTTTAGGCCCCCCCCCCCTCTCTCTTTCCCCTCTCCTACGCTCCTTGTCCCCTCCACGCTCCCCCCCTCCCCCCACGCTACTCGTCTGTCTTCTCATGGTACTTAAATAAGTGAGCATTGGCTACACAGGCGATGTATGCAACCCGGTCTCCGATGTTGACATTACTTACAACAACCATTTGCTCAAAAGTACAAGAATGAACTGTTGGGAATTAAGTTTGTATTATTGAATTATCCCAAAAGTCGTACAACAATGAGAAAAGTAACTGAAGACTAAATTTATCCCTAGGATTGCCTGCATGGGTATAGCAAATTTAGGCCTTGTATATATACACGTTCAGCACTAGGCCTATGAATGGATTTTTAAGTTACCTCTTAAAATTACTAGTACAAACATAATATTGCTGGCTGCAACAATCTATTTTTGTATGTTAGAGCAAATAGTTTGTGTAAGTTGTGTGGTGTTAGGAGCGTGGGTTTATGCTCACTGGAGTCTGTGGGTGGGTGGTATCTTGCTTCTCCAGTGTAGACTTTACTGATCCTGTTGATGGGTGTGGGTGTCACAAGTATAATGCCTGGGCACAGTGCAGGGGGGCATGGGTATGGCATGTTGACATGTGGTGGTAGGTAGTGTAGAGGTCCATGGGTATGACAGGTAGACATGTGGGTATGTCATGGGTAGTATGTAGAGGAGCATGGGTATGACAGGTAGACATGTGGGGTATGTCATGGGTAGTGTGTAGAGAGGCATGGGTATGACAGGCAGACATGTTGGGTATGTTGTGGGCAGAGTGTAGAGGGGCAGGGGTATGACACAAACATGTGGGGTATGACACAAACATGTGGGGTATATCATGGGCAGAGTGCAGAGGGGCCTGGGTATGAGAGGCAGACATGTGGGGTATGTTGTGAGCAATGTGTAGAGAAGCATGGGTATGCCAAGCAAATATGTGGGTATGTCCATGGGCAGTGTGTAGAGGGGCATGGGTATGGCGACTAGACGTGTGGGCATGTCGTGGGCGGCGTGTATGCTAATTAATGCTTTGTGAGCAAACTCCCAAAGAGGAATCTGGGTGGAGGCTTGAGATAGACAAGAAGCTTGGTCAATTCAGAGACAACAGGAAGTGCAAAGAGCAGCAACAGCAGCAGGAGCAGCCAAACGTAACAGAACTATATATAGCTAGTCTCCTTTTGATACATGTACAAGTTGCTAAGAGGAATAATAGGGTTGAAATATTAATTACTTCCATAGTTGAATGTTTGTCGCAACATTTATGGATGGAGCAAATAAAGTTGCAGACATTGCTAGAGTTGAGCTGTTATTCATAATTGCATGAATACCCACCAATTGTGAATCTTCTGGGGAAACAATACACACACACACTATATGATGTTTGTGTATGTCCTTGTACTCTATATTTGTGTGTGTTTAGATCTATTGGTTGTATTAAAACTTAAAAATGGTTTAGATTTCACAAGCCAGGTGTGGGAGACGTCCTTGTAGCAAGTGGTGGTCGATGATCGGGTAAGAAGGCGTCGACCTTGTTGAGACGGTGTAGGTGGCATGTAGGAGTTGTAGCAGGTCTTGCTATGAGGCAGGCAGGTCCTCGGTCTGCCCGTTTTGAACATCATTCTTAGAAGATGTGATTATAGAACTATGTGATCAATTTCTGCCCACACCCTTTACCCTCCCAACTGTCATAATGTGGGCATATCTGCTTACACCCCTAACACCTCCGACCTTCATGCCGAGAGGTAGAACTTGAAGACCAAATTACATTCAAGAATAGAATACCATACTTAGGGACCAGGTCAGTGTGTGCCCCCATTTTGTGTTTAACTTCTCATTGCTTTGCCAAGCATTTTTCCTGGGGCTGAAGTTGTCACATGCTTGTGAAGTATTGAAATGATGCTAGGCAAGTATTACTCTTATATATTTGTAATAAGTTTACTTATAAAATGTTTTGAATGACTTTATGCATCGTGTACACACCTCGACACGCTGATTGGCGAGGGAAGACACCAGCTTGGAGTAAGAAAGCCATTACTGCATGTAATGTAAATGTTGTAAATGGTTATTAAGTAATTCAACATGAAAATCTCTCTCATTTTGCCATTTGTAATAGAATAAAATAAAGTATACATCTAGCATTGGAAATAGAGAAGCACTACCTTACTGCACCTGTTATCATCCATACTTCTCTATAGCATCTGATGTAGTGCTCCTTGTGAATGGTCATATATTACAGTACACAATTTATTCCTTCCTTATAAATTTAGAGTAGCTTCTGTCCAGCAATTGCTTTCTGGAAAGTAGGCATTGGTGTGTATACTGCTTTCATCTGGATAATATAATCGATTCTGCATGACGGTGAATTTATTCTCGTGCTTCGTGTGTAACGTATAAATACAGTACAGTAATCATTTATCGTTTGTTAGGAGGACGAGAAAGTGATCGAGCTGGTGGAGAAGTATGGCCCCAAGAGGTGGACGCTCATTGCCAAACATCTCAAGGGACGCATCGGCAAGCAGTGTAGAGAGCGATGGCACAATCATCTCAATCCAGCCATAAAGAAGAGTGCCTGGACAGAAGAGGAAGACCGCATTATTTATGAGGCCCATAAGCAGTGGGGTAACCAGTGGGCCAAGATTGCCAAATTGATTCCTGGCAGGTGAGCTCTTTGGCACCATTGTAGAGCAGTTAGTACAGTAGTCAGTCTGAGGCAGCATTACAAGGAGAGTCTATCAGGTGAGAGCGGCAGATAGAGATGGTACCAAGTATACCGAAAAGTGGGTTTGCAAAAAGCTTTGGGTTAAGATGGGGTGTGGTGGTTATACTTGCCCACTCACTCCAGAAGAATTTTGATATGTCCTTTATTTTTTAATTTAACCAGTAAATTGTTTAGAAGAATCAGGCTAGTACAGTATATATATATAACTTATTCTGATATAGTCTGTTGAATTACAATTGGAATAAAAGTAGCATGTATCATCAAACATGATTAGTACATACTGTATTCTTTTCTGTGACTACAATGAACTTCAATAGGACTGACAATGCAATAAAGAACCATTGGAATTCGACCATGCGACGCAAGTACGAAGCAGAGATGACTGCAGCTGGACGCAAAAAGCCGCGTGGTGGAAGACACAGCTCTGGACAGACACCCCCCGTGATGGCTTCTCCAGTGCCTCCACTTTCCCACTATTCCCAGGAATATTTTCACAGACCAGGTTTGTAATGCAGTAATTTACTTTGCACGTCATAGGTACATGAACTAAAGTTTCCCCAAGTTCAATATTGTATGTATTCATCTGAAATTGCCTGAACATGAACAGTCATCACTACTGTACAATACCTTGTACATACATCAGTACAGATACTATACGTTGCTATATGGAATTAGATTGCTATGTTATGAAATGTGTGTTTTTTCTCCAGGCCCATTGATTTACAGTGCAACATGTTTTATAAGGTTTCTCTGGGGCCTATTTCTGAAACCACTGATTTGAGCATTCTATGATGATTCATACCCTCAAAAATAAATGATGAGTAGGCTTCAAGCTATTTTTCAAGCCTTTTCCTTCAATTTGTTGTAGCACATTAATACTTTTACTCCAAAGGAGCACTTTGTTATATTTCTGTGGTTTGTTTGTGTGCAGATGTTATGGGTCCGCCCATTAGTCACAGTGCTCCTCACCTGCCTTCACAAGTACCACCTGCTGCTGCTGCTGCTCCTCACATATACTCTGGTGGAGGGCCATACTCTGCCACACCCCAGCACCACCAGGACTACCACGCTAATACTCAGTATGAGTTGCCTTCGGCCATGCATACACCCATTCCCATCAATAACACGTCTCCCTATGGTCAAGAGGCATATTCACAGGTACTGGCTCAGTTTATTTTGTCCGTTTACACATTCGCTCTTCTTTAGTGAAATTTAGATTTTTGCTGTACTTTTAATACTATTTCCTTGTGCATAATTATACTTTACTGTGTTGATCAGGCCACACACTAGAAAGTGAAGGGACGACGACGTTTTAGTACGTCCTGGACCATTCTCAAGTCGATTGTGCGAGTCATTCTTGACTCGCACAATCGACTTGAGAATGGTCCAGGACGGACCAAAACGTCGTCGTCCCTTCACTTTCTAGTGTGTAGTTTGATCAAAATGTTTCAGCCACGTTATTGTGACTCCTCATATGCATACTTTACTGTATTTATATTTGTTACAAAAAATGAGTTTAATGCCAGAGAAAACAGGCATATATGTAAAGTTGTAATGAAAGATAACATACTATGCATATAAAAAAATCCATAAATGCCAGTAAATTAAACTGGTTGACAATAGATTGCTTGGGAAGGGAAGGGAAGGGGGGGGATGAAAGATTATCATTTTGTTTGTGATATCAAGAGCTGTAACTGCTAAGAGAGTGCATGTCTTGCTGCTGTTAGTACTAGTCTCATGTGATGGTGTATTGTGTGGAAGGTATCATGATGGACCTAGTGAGGGTGTAGCGTGTAAGGTATTGTGACTCAACATTGTGTCACGTCTAACAACTTTTGACCCCCCCCCCCCCTTTAATTATTTTTCACTGTCAATTTGCCTCATTATTATGTAAGAAGCAAATAATGTGCTGACGTGGTAACATTGTGATGTTTGTTTGTACAGAACTACTGGGAGCAGAATAGCCCCTACAATAATAACTATGGAGGAAGCATGACCCAGTCCTCCCACCAGCAGACTCAAGCCCCCGTCACACCAAGCACCTCGGTGGACAGTCTGGGGACCCCTGGGGCCAACCAGGTGAGTAAAGCACTCCGCCAATGCAAACCTGGTACAATTTTGGACGTTATGGGTAGGGCTGTCAAAAGTGAGGGATGCTCACCTCCGCAGCTGGCTTCCCCAGGGACCATCGTTGATGATCGTGGCTCGCCGGTTTCAGTCCAGGTTAGTAAATGTCAATGGTAAGCTCCGTAGTTGGAATAGAAGTACTCGTCACACTAAGGATCCAGTAATAAGTTTCTCCTGATACACTCCCATTTGTTGGGTGTTGGCCAGCATGTACCATTGGTGCTGTTGCCTGCAGCAGGAGATTACAATGTCTGATACTGTACCAGTATCCTGGGTATTTTTGCTGAATATATTATATGGACATTGCCTTCAATAATAAATGCTTGTATTTCACATCGGCAATTGAAAATGATTCGGATGGGCAGACGTGCAAATTATAATAAATATACTAGTACAGTGCATTTTTATTTAACGTTCGTAAAAAAGGTACGTTAGGAGACTTGTGTAGCAGTTCGTGTCAGTTAAGTGTTTAATATTCATCAGGTGAGTACATCGACGCCAACGCCGCCGCCGCCACCTGGCATACCTACTCCGCCCCTGAGTCAGTATGGTCAGTACCCTGCTCAGCCACAGCCCTTGTCTGTGTCGTCGTCGTCATCACTAAGCCCACCCTTGAACCAGGGATTCTTGCTCTCCCCTGACAAGACCAGCATCTACAGTGACCTTGGTATCATCTCCCCCCTCAAGTGAGTTGAATGGACATTTTTGTTCATTACACCTTATTCCCCCACTTTCTTGGAATGAGTAGATATTAGCTTTGAGAAAAAATGAGCAAGAGTCTGTTGCCTCATAAGACTAGATGTACAATGTTGCTAGTCATCATATACAGTAGAAGCATATACTAGCTACCTCCTTACAGACTGCTGTCACTCAGTCTTGTTCCTTGCAGTGTTCACACTGTTCGTCCTCATACCTTCAAATTTACTGCATCTTCATCAGTCTATCATTATCATTTAATTCAGTATGTGCTAACCATCTTGTTAAATTAAACCAAATCTTATAATTTACAGACTTTTACACTACATCTTCTTATCTCATTCCTTAATCTGTTGTTATTCTGATACATCACATGTTTTTCAAATTACATATTTCTACTGCTGTAATTCTTTTTCTTGTTTGTTCTCCCGGCATTCTCGCATCTGTACACAAGGGTCGGCACTACCACTATCCCTAAAAACACTGTTCATTCCTAATTTACATTAATATGGATATGGCTATTTATGCAGTTTGATTAAAATAAAAAATTTACCCTTGTACTCCGTTTCATTCCCTTCCATTTTGTGCACATGCACAAACTTTGGTTCTTGCTACATATCACAAAATTGTTTAAATTGTTTTTTTTACGAGCATAACATTCGGCATAACCAAGGTAACTTAAGGGAGGATTCACTAATAATTAAATTTTTTTGCAGATATTTTGACGAACTGGGCTCATTGTCTCCGCTGAAGCAAGAACGGAGCTTGGAGGCCTTCAGAGCTGAATTGGACATGGGAGCCTTTGAGCTTTTGACCTGCAGTCCTGTCAAGGTGAATAATGCGTAGCTTTTCCTCTCACTACTTTTTGTGTAACACTATATGGCTGCTTCATATTGTTCTACTATGGCAAGTCTCTTACTCGGCTGATTTGTATTGTTTTGCTATGGCACGTCTCCCTATATCACTTCTACTTTCTCTTAAATAAATATTTTCCCAGTATTGTTGACGAAGCTAATGTATGGTTGGTGCCGTCTGTAGGGTATACACACAACAGTGTTGTTGATGAAGGTAATGTATGGTTGGTATAGGGATTCCAGGACTGTTGATGAGCTAATGTATGGTTGGTGCCGTCTGTAGGGTATACACACAACAGTGTTGTTGATGAAGGTAAAGTATGGTTGGTATAGGGATTCCAGGACTGTTGATGAGCTAATGTATGGTTGGTGCCGTCTGTAGGGTATACACACACACGCCAGTATCTTTTCTCAACTAAAAAAGGGATTGAGAAGCAAATATAGATTCAAGTTGGTATGTCCTAAATTCCAGTTTAAGGGACAAGTATTGGATTAGTATCTTACGGATTTTTCCTCACGATTTTGGCAATTTGTGAGAATTTTGCACAACTTGTGGTTGTAGTAGTGTACCAGTACTACATTGGTTGTGATTCAGATGACACATCTTAAAGAATAATTATAATAATAATAATAATATTTATTTAGGTAAGGTACATACATAAAGAGATTTTACAAAGTTTGTTGGGTTAATAGATAGAGCTAGTACATACAATGCCTAAAGCCACTATTACGCAAAGCGTTTCGGGCAGGAAAAACATTAATGACTAAAGCTTAAAACTAATGGGTAAAAAGAATAAATAGAATTGTGATGCTTTGTCAGCTGTTCAACCTCTCTGGTGTTGGGGAAGTGATGTATTAATTTAAAGTTGCTGTAGTCATTTGATGGTATTAAGTTTGGTATTCTGTTACAAATATTTGTTTCCTTTAGCCATAGGAAATTTGTGTAGCTTAAAAATGTGACCTAATATTTATTGATTTAATATTGACAAGTCAAAGCTTATGACCTTTAATTATATAACACATTAATATCTTACAGGTTAAACAAGAGTTGCTGCAGGATTTACCACATCCGTCCCCTCTGGCCATCAGCACGAGTGCTGCTGTCTCGTCCTCGTCGTGTTTCACCTCGTGTTCCTCGTCCACCACCACAACCTACACGGCTCCTCCTCTATACATCACAGCCTCCAGTGCTACATGTCCTCCGTCTAACCATAATATGAGTATCAACAGCACGCACAATGGGTCGTTCTCGTCTATGAATTCGTCACGTCTCTCTACGCCTCCCATACTGAGACGGGGTCGTCGGAAGCAGCCATCTCCCACAAAGAGACATCATCTGTCCATTTTGGTAAGAGTGTTGTTTCGTTGCATTTATTGTATGTACAAGTTTAGCAGTAACAATATTTTTTAAATTTACACAAAATGGTGTAATTGAAAGTTGTTTGTAATCACAGTATTCGGAATTTTAGCATCTCTTATTTACTTGGTTGTTTTAGAAATTTCAAGTCGTATATATTCTTAATGTCTGTCTGCTTCAGGATCCGAACGAGTCCCTGCTGACGACCCCACAGAAGATGACTCCCGTGAAGACTGTACCGTTCAGTCCTTCTCAGTTCTTGAACAGTCCCAATTTGTCATTCGAGGATGGCAACATGACCTCTACACCAGTCCTCGGGGGAATCCCAGTCTCTCAATCTACGCCCGTCCAACCACTACCATTATCCATACACATTTCTAATCACACGATCACACCCTGCGAGCCCAGTAGTCAGCCTCGGACACCTAAATCCCGTCGCGCTCTTCTCCAGTCTGCACCAAAAACTCCTACACCGTTAAAAAATGCCTTGCGGGAAATAGAGAAGAAGAGCGGTCCACTCAAGCATCTGGTGAGCATGATGGATGAATCTTAGTCTTGAGGGTAATTCAATCATAGAATTGTCATCCTCATATCTTACTCCTCTTAATTCTTATAGGTCAGTTATCATCACATGCTGATCCCCGGAAAAATAAGATTATTTGCTGATTTGTTATTGCCTAGTTTTCATACGTATGTGACATGTGGTCATAATACTTATAAAAGGATGAAAGAGTTAACCAAGAATTGTGAAAAAATTCTACTACCTAGCTAGTGTTTTTAGTAGCTTGCTAGGTGTTGATGTTATTGTGTACCAGTAACCCTGCTATTGTCTAGTCAAGTTGGTTTTCCTAGCCAATGTTTGAATCAATTATTCGTGGATGATGTTCCCAGACAGATTAGCAGCTAATGAGTGGGTTGTAAGATGCTTCCTTTGTGCTGTGCCAGACACACGTTCACATGTTACATAGGTGTATATATTCTAGGCCTATATACAGTGCTTGGTTTTTGTCAATTATGTACATAGTTATTAAAGCTAAATACACTGTTAACCAATAAGTGAAGCTATGAATCTTAGAACCATCCGACTTGGTTCCTGCTTGATACCTGCTTGATGGGGTTCTGGGAGTTCTTCTACTCCCCAAACCCAGCCCCGAGGCTAGGCTTGGGGTTATTGGGGGTTCGTTATTGTCCTCACCCGTATAACATGAGTTGGCAAATTGTGTACAGTATGTTATTGCCGAGATGCTCTTTGACCCCTCCACTCCACTGTGTACACCTCGCTTAACCACACAAGTATTTTTCCTCTCATGCGAGGTGACAATTTTGATGATGGCTGCACATTGAGGGTTAAAGATTAGGGGTGGATCATTAGTAATTCTCTTGTATAACTGGCATAATGACATTACATGTAGCCATGTCTTGGTAAAGTGAAACAAATCATTCCTAAAGCGACACTCGTTTAAACAACAAATGAATGAATGGTGCGTGTTAATAACTTGCCTTTAGATGCATTATATATACTGTATATGACATTGGGATTTGTTCAGCAGTGTGAATGACAACCTTCAAATATTTTACAGTGGCTGTTGTATTTACTTTATGATCTTGTCTTTTGTGGTGCTCACAGCCACAGACCCCAACACACCTTGAAGATATAACAGAGATCATACGCAAGGACACCGAGACGGAGCGCACCAAGTTTGAGACGCCTTCCATGGCTAACCACAGCTTCCGAAACCAGGTGTGCATGGGAGGATTTGTTTTTCCTCCTAAATTTGGAGACATTGAATGGTTAAGTGTAATAGTTGCGGTGATAAAGGGCAGTAGCGTGAAGCCTGTAGGGTTTCACTACCTGCAGTGCTGTATGAGAGAAATGGTGCATTGGATACCATTACTTTTTGTCAAGCACATGAAAACAAATTACTGAGCCATCAAATTTACTGTAGTTAAAGATCACAATTACTGAGTATGTAATTTTAAATTACAGTAGTTGTTTGATAGTGCAGGGTTAATGATTACTTTTATTAGAGCAGCATAAATGTTTAAAGGTGAGGATCATGAGGTACATTTTACTCCAACAGAGTGTTTGTGATAGTGGTTATGGTACTTTGAAGCGCAAGGCCACTTCTGCCATTGGCAAGGAAAACTCTCCTAGTAAAAAAGCTCGCAAGGCCCTCCTACACTCGTGGTCAACGCCAGGAGAAATTCAGGTCCCTGGCTTCCGTGCAGAGTCTCTCACCCTAATGCCAGAGACTCCGGTGAGTTGAGCAATACTGGTGTGCGTTTATGCAGTCTTGGCCTGTTTGTTAGTACAGTACTGTAAGTCTAATAATGGTAAGCTCTGATAGCTTTTCCTCAAGCAACATTATGCACCTGATTTTTTAATATCCGCAATGCTTGTCAAGCCCATCCTTTGGTTATTTTCATCGTATATAAGCTCCTTTTGAACTATGAGTACAGTTTTACATTGGTAAGGAATGGGGGCGAGTGTGACTGTGTACGAGATAAGTGACCAGCCCCGAGCACCCACTACACAATTGCTGTGGGATGTTTTCTTTGACTATATTCGTACTGGATTGTCAATTGATGGAGTACACAATTTTCTCAATATGAACAGCACCTGTCAATATTCCCCCCCTACCCCTTTTGAACATTGGCCATTTTGTTTGTGCTTTACAAAGGTCAGGAGACGTGCACAAAAATTGAGTGATAGTGGCAAAACACAGCACCATCCCAAATTGATGCACTTTGTAAAAGGAGGGAAAACAGTATTGAACTACCATGTGACTTAAGTTAGGACCCCCTGCTCCTTCCCTTGAGAGAATATAACTGAACTTCTTGAGAAAAGCAAAAGGTTCCAAAGGTTTCGTGAAGTACAACCAGAGTGAAGACAGAGTGCAGGACAAGGAAGGGAATGGTATTATCAGGAGAAAGTGCCAAATCATTTTGGCTATATAGCTCTTGGAAGGGGGGTCAGGATAAGGATTTGGGCTGGGACGGGGGAAAGGAATGGTGCCCAACCACTTAGATGTGCGGGACAAGATGGACATCCAGAAGCAACGTTAGTGTAGTAATTAGTGCTGGGGCAGTAAAGACAGCTTGTGTAGCTAGACACAGTAAATGAGATACGGGTGATAAAGGTATCATCATGGTTGCTGATGAGATCTTCAGTCAAATGCAACCATTGGCAAAGGCATTGGTATCTATTAAATGGCAAACATAATTCCAATATTTAAGAGGTTTTGCAGTCTATAGGAAATGATTTGGTTTAGCAATTTTTTCCTCAGAAGTGCAATATACTTTTTTGCACACAAATTAAACTTCTCTCAAATTACAAATTAAACCCAGCCTCATGAATATTACATCATCAGTTTAGTGACATTGGGTATTCTCAAGAGGATGGACTGTACTCTTATACTGTACTCCCCCCCCCCCCACCTCTGTACCGACTCATCATCGGCATAATCCTCGACCTATTTCCTCAGTTGATGTCCGTGAATATTTAACCGAGGGCCACCAAGCATTGTGACCGATTGAGACGGGAAGCCTGTGGCTTGTTTCATGAATGTTGCTAGATTTTGTTGTCATAGTTTATAGTAAGAGTGATCTTTTGCAGAGCAAGAGCCTGATTGGCGACTCCTCCGTCCTGTTCTCGCCGCCCTCCATCATACGTGATACTCTTCCAGAGGAAACCCACCCCCTTACTTCACCGTTGTTGCTGATGGACAAGTCCACCAAAAAGGTAAATAACAATAGTGTATCAAAGTAGAAAGATAGACTACAGTTCAGTAGACGGTAGAGTTGTTTGTAGCAGTAAAACAATGTACAAGGCTTATATTTATCAGTATATTGTATTAAGTACTTCAAAATATAACTCCCAAGCCTTTAGAGAAATTGTAGAATACAGTGTTGGAACGGGAGTATAATCGTTGCAGGGAGAGCAGAGACTACGTAGTTGTGTGGGAGTATTGTTTACCCAGCAGCTGTTCCAACACTACTATCCTTCCTTTAATGTTATTCCTGGGACTCTGAGCTTGCCATGATACTATTGGTAATTTAGACACGTCATGTACTACGTAAATGTTTCTAGATCCTGGATATTAGTCTTGAGGGAACTATGTGAAGCATGTATGTGGAGGGAGTAGCGTAGCACTACTGTTGTCATTTATAAGATGTATTAGGAGAGTTGTTGAATAATATTACAGTACTGTATTTTAGCAATCTTATGGTTTGAAAAGCAAGAACAAACATCCATTATGAAGGAAGTGGTAACTGGTACCAAAAAAAAAAATCTAAAAAATTCTGCCATGACTCTTCCATACCATTCACCATCTGATGAGAGCTTTCCCCTCCCCCAAACCAGCCGAGAGATGGTGAAATTGGAATGGGGTGCGTCAAGCGGATAACCTTCTCGGAGGGCCAGACCACCAAGGCGAACCTCTCGAAGGTAAACGCGCACATTCTTGGGCCTGTCTTGTGGTTAATGGGTATGACCAACCCAATTTGGTCCACTAATTTGATTTTTCGGCATCACTTTCCAGTTTTGGTTGGAACAGTTTTACAGAAGTTTTTTTCAAGTTTTATTTTTGCTTACTAGGTTGGTGGTTGTACTTGGTAGATGCTTGCATGCTTGTCGTTGGTGACGGTCGGCTGTCCGTGCGGCGACGGTGTTCTCTAATAGTAACAACATACTTGTTCATCTTTAATTTTCTTCTCTATATCAAAATTATGTTAATGCTCCTCAATTTTTAAGTTGCTCAGTCTTGTAATATTTTGTACTGCTTATGCTCACATTTTACTTGATTTACCTGATTTTGTTTGCACATGTGCTGACTTTATTTTTCTCTACCAATTTTTTTATTAACACATTTTTTAACATTATTTAATTAAACAATTTTTTTAATATCATCTATGTAAGACAGTTATTTGTAACAACAATATAACTGAATAATTTGCTCCTGGTTGGGTTGGACGGTAGAGCGACGGTCTCGCATCATGCAGGTCGGCGTTCAATCCCCGACCGTCCAAGTGGTTGGGCACCATTCCTTCCCATCCCAAATCCTTATCCTGATCCCTTCTAAGTGCTTATAGTCATACTGGCTTGGTACTTTCCCCGATACTTTCCTCCCCTCCTGGTTGGTTGGGGCAAGGATTGTGTGTGAGAGAGCCTTCATGTAACACTTGCCCATTGTTCACTGCACTTCACTAATCAATCCTTGTGATCTTTGTCAGCCTAACACCATTGGCCAAGTGTCTGGTAATGAACTCAAGTTGATGTAGATCACTCGACTTCAAATCTCCCATGCATGATAGATGTAAAAATTGGTATAAAGTTTGGTACTGTGCATCATATATTACTCCCAATTTCATTTGATAATGGGACAGCATAGAGGAGAGTAAGAGGAATGTAGGGAAAGGTTAGATATTGACCCATCCACAGTATCTTCTCACTGACCATTTAAAATGAGCACAAACTCTCAAAGTTACCATCCATAACAGTACCTCGACTCCATCATATGTATTAAGTTCTTAAATTAATTTGCAGTGTGAAACACTTGAGAGACACTATTGGGTATAATTTTAGCAGTTGCCTCACCGTGGGCCAAAAGGCCTTCAACAGCAATTCCATTTATTCTTGTTTTCACTTTACTAAATTTGTTTCATTTCACATGTAAATTATTACCCCCCGTCTGTAACTTTCATATCATAGAGCAAAGAGGTACTAGCCCAGGAAAATATAGTGAAAGGTTATGTATATTAAAAATATTGCCTAGTCATTGATCATGTTATTTAGATTAGACTGTACAGTATATAGTATGATGGCTAGACGCCGCAGCATGGAGGCAGTTGTCCACAACAACACACCGTGCTTCATGCAACCAGGTGTACAGTGTTCCTTACCTTGAGGTGCTTCCGGGGCTTAGCGTCCCCGCGGCCCGGTCGTCGACCAGGCCTCCTGGTTGCTGGACTGATAAACCAGGCTGTTGGACGCGGCTGCTCGCAGCCTGACATATGAGGCTAACTTTCATATACAGTATAAACCCCCTGCCAGCCTTTCCCCTTGTTGCATCCTATGCATAGTTCACATTGAATACCAAGTCTTCACTCACTCGCCAAGGCTGCCTGTCTCCCAGGCCTTGTTTTGCTCCTCTTCCTTACCCCTGAATACACCCACTTCACTAACCTTTCATCCACTTGATCAACATTTCCAGATCTTGTATGTTGACGTCAGTGTTGCAATATATTGATTTTTGCATGCCACATCTCCACGGGTTTTATTCCTGACTTATAAGGAATAAAACTTGCTTCCTTGTTCACCATAGCAAACCACTAATGATTTTTTAGTGTTCATTTCTGCTGATGTAATTGGGTATCCACAGAAGGGATGCCTTTTATGTTTTCAATGCATTACAAATTTAGTATTTGTAAGAGTTCTGGAAAATACCTTTGCCTGTTAGAACATAAGAAATAAGGAGCGCAGAATGCTTTTTGAAGCATGCAGCAGTTATTTTATCCCCCCGTCCCTCACACTCTCGTGTGTTTATTGGAGCTACTTTGTGTTGCTGCCATAGTCATACCAGAAACTGGATGGTGATTTAGGAAAGACTTGGGTAAATACTGGTTCGGTAACAAGGTTGTTGATTTGTGGAACCAATTACCGCGTAACGTAGTGGAGGTGGGGTCCCTCGATTGTTTCAAGCGTGGGTTGGACATGTATATGAGTGAGATTGGGTGGTTATAGATAGGAGCTGCCTCATATGGGCTAATAGGCCTTCTGCAGTTACCTTTGTTCTTATGTTCTTATTAGAAGTTAGCACCAGTGTTTGGAGGATGCTGTGCTTTATAGTTTGGCATGTGTTAGCATGTACTGCAGTGGCCAGAAATGTAATGACAAAGGTATTAATGTTGCAGCTGGATGTGAGGTGGGAGATGGTGGCGTGTGGCAAGACGGAGAACCAGCGTCGTCTGACCGAGCAAGCACGCCAGTTTGTCAACCAGAATGCAGCACTAAAGCCACGTTCACTTAACCTGTAGAGTGACCTCTCAGTGGGACCACAGTAAGAAGCTATTTGTAACCAGTTACGGGCCGGTGTGCTCGTTACCTACTGTCATTGCCACGTAGGATGGGGGGCACTGAACATGGCAAGAAAACAAAGTATATCCATATGTTTTGTTTTTAACTTTCATAGTACTAAGTGGGCAAATATATAATATCAAAGCTTCAAAACAAATTCATCATGAGTGTTCAGTTTGCTTCCTATGTTATAATTCTGTACCACAATTCTAGAAATGGTAATTTTCATGATTACCATCTTGTCTTAAACTGGTAACTTTAAAAGCACTATAAAGTGCCTGAGCATTCTATCTAGAATGCAATATATATAATATTAATAAATAGTGGAACCATTACACTATTCATTGTACATTAGTTTGTGTGGTTATGTGTGGTCCCCTGTTGAGGCTTCCCTACATGGCTAAGGACACTACTTGATTTTCTTCTTATGGAGCAGGAGAATAGTCTTCTATTATCTAAGAATGATTCGTGAATTTTCCCGTGGGACAGTTGAAAACCTGCGCGTGTCCTACGGGAATAATATCGTGGGTCGTGTCTTTTGAAGAGAATGAAAGAAAGTTGTCCTGTTGTTTACTAGGATGAAAATCTCATGCGAGAGGTGATGTTGAAGGTCAGTTATATTAGCAAGGTTAGTGTGTATAAGAGGAAGCTGCATTGGTGAGGTGGACCATTGTGAGACAAGTTGGAAAAGCTGGAGCTGTAGTGTGACAGCAAGTTAAATTGACATTAAACATGCTTTTGTGAACATGTAATGTGATTTTTTTTGTCTTTGCACTTGTCTCGCTCTGCAAGTCTTGCCAATGTCTTCATCTTTGCGTAGTATGTTATAGAAAAACCCAGTTATTTTCAGACCAAAGTATCGCTGGCGCGAGAAACATTTGGCAAGGCCTCTCCCACTAAACTTGGGAGTGCCGCCAGACTTGAGCCAGCGTGTAATAGTTAGGTAGAGACTGTGAATGGGGTGTGATATAGGGTGACGTGTTTTTATTTACTTAATAATATACAAGCTTGGGTTGGAGGCCGGTAGGTGCATCAGATATGTAATCGTGTATCAATATAATGAACAAAGTATTTAACACCAATAATCTCATTAGCATTGTAAATAAGTTGTGGCTTTTCACTGGAACAACTTTGTGTTGGTCCCGTATAACCCGCTGCCCTCGTGCCTCACTTGTGTAAAGGCTACAGCCACGGAACAAATATTTTTTACTCTGCTTGGCTTTTTCAGGAAGCTATTAATCATTTCATTATGTTTTTGTTGGAAACTTATAATTTTATGTTAAATATTTTAAGCCTTGTCTATATTTTCCCCTCAAGCCGACTGTTTAAATGGCTTTAATTCCCATCATCTCTTGTATATGAACTGTGTGTAACATTTGCAGTTGGTATTGATAGAATATTATTATTTGCACCTATTTTGTGTAATAGAAAATGGGACGGGCTGTGCTGGCAGTGCGTTCACTTCACTGTCGCAGGCATCTGTTGCTGGCAACGCTGCAAGGCTTGAACTGTATCGACTAGTACGGACTGCACATATTACCATTACATTCTCTCGTGTCAGAATTGTATTGTCTGTTCCACCATCACATATCTTGTGTGTTAAAGTATCTAGTACAGGTACTTTTGTTTTTTAAGAATAAGGCTTTAATGGAGCGCATACTCTTGCTTGTGGTGATCGTAATACCAGCACAGTTTGTCCCAAACACTCCCATAATCCCATAATGTAGTAGTGTAGAATACCAGCTAAGGAGAGGAAGCTCTAAAGTATTTGCCTAATGGGTTCTATATATTTAAAAAAAAAAAAAAAAATCTAAACAGTTTGCATGAAGAGACCTGAGGAGCTGGGGGGGTGAATCTAGTGTTATGATTGGTCTTGCACCTAGTACGAGAGGTGTTGTACTTCCCATGGTGTTGGCTACAGCTAATGCTAACTTTATACAGTTTACTTCCAAACAATATGGTTTTAAAAGTAGTGTTTACATAACTAAAATGAGGCATCATAATTTTTGGCATTTCTACCAGCATTTTATGATTTATATAATTATTGTACAGGATGTGTGTAGCAAGAGATGCTGTAGTTTATTAAAAATATGTACTGTATATAACATTACACGTCCGCCTATACTGGGCACAATGTCTCCCAAGAAACTGTCGTGTGTGTGTGTGTGTGTGTGTGTGTGTGTGTGTGTGTGTGTGTGTGTGTGTGTGTGTGCCGTTAAATTATGTTTAACAAAAATAAATCGGGAGTTGTATATATACTGTCTTGAATGTTTTATCGGCATTTCAATTTGATCAACTGTACCTAATAATAGGCTTAATGAAGGTCTTATAACTCTTATTTCAATTTTTTTTTATAATGTTACTTGTTTGCAGTGAAAATGCAAAAATGTATGTGGCCTAATAATGTATGACTAAAGTGGTATGAACATGCTATTGCATGATTTTTTTTTAGTTGTGGCAGCGATGCCGTCATTAGCATTGAGCTCCGTCTTTGCCCACCTTCTCCGAGTTTACTTACCTGTGATACTACATTCAAAATTAATGGCCTCACTAATAGATGTAGTTCATGTTGCAGAGTGCACGTAAATGTCAACACATCCACACATTGCTAACTGGGGAAAGTGACAACCTTTCCTCTGTCATGGATACTTCATTAAGAGTTCACATTTGATGATTGTCTTCCATGAACCAACAACGTTATAACTTATTTCTAACGTGTGGGGTTTTGTTTCAGCCCATTATTGTGACTACTGAAAGCATTACATAATTAAAATTACTGTAAACATAATTCTGACTATTACCAATAGAACTCTTATGAGGATCCAAGATTTTCCAAAGTGGAAGGTTCCAGTGTAGTTTACAAACATAATATATATATATATATATATACACTTGCATGTGACTTATATACTTTGACTTGAGCACAATAGCTATATAATATAGATACACTAGTGATTTGCTTTTAGTTAGACATCACAACTATACATTTCTGATGAATATTTTGCCCCTGAAGACTCCCTTCTGAGGGTGTAGCCAGAGTAGGAAAGGCTCCAGGCAGTCCTGTAGATGATGTCCTCGTCTGTATGTACAGCTCTGAAGGGCTGAGTTTATTGATATTGATCATATGGCAGGCGAGGATGGCTGTCTCTTAACACTGTCTTCATATGAGTAAATAGGCAGTATGGCTGGTAGTACGTCCCATTACTCGATATTTTTGTAGTCTTTAACGAGGACTTGACATGGTGAGAGTGGCTGTAGGATGGAATGTGCATATGTACAATTTACTCTGTAAATTCATGTTAAATAGCCACTAATTTTTTTTATACTGATGGCTGGGTTTTAGTGCTTTGGTCTGCAGTTCATTGGTAGGCTTACTACCATAGAAAATTAAATTGACGGCTATGACTGCCACCGACATTGTTAATGAGTAAATATTACTTCTGTATTGATAGTGTGTTATTCGTGCATGATCATAAATGGAGTAATGTAGTGTGCGTGTTCCTCGTGGGCTAGATCTTGATGGGTAGCGAGCACATGGAGTATACAGCAAAAGTAGACTCATCCCCCAAACTCCATCAGTCTGCTCTCAAAAGCTAAAACGGGTGTATTATTGCGGCCAGAAATGTATGGCAGAGTTTAGTGGTTTGTTCAGTTGATACGTGATGTCACAAGTTTTTATTTTAACCGGTTTTGTGAGAATACTTTTAAAATACTAAGTAATTAATTACTATTATACATGTTCCTAAAAAAAAAAATTGGAATTTTAATACTGATCCATTGTTTTGCAGCAATTTTTTTTTCAACCCTAGGATAAAGTAGAGGCCTATGGGCTACATTTGGTCAGAGTTTTCCAGTTTGTAACATTAGTGTCGGCCTGTAGGTTTGTGGGCAATATTGGTCCTGTAGACACACAGTGCCAAGCCTCGTGCCCAGAGTATGTTTAGGGGTGAGCACATTGTTTAATGTGCTCAGTGTGCATTTGTCATGGTGATATTTTAAACCTGTTTTCTTTAACTCATTTTCAGAAATACATGAAGATTGTTGTCATATACTGTAGAGTATAACTTTATTACTACTTCAAGCAGGCTAGGAATATCCCATGACTTGTAGACGTGTCTATTAGGAGAACTTTTGAAATACAAAAATGTGTAAATAAGTGACTGTTGATGCTTCTGGAGTCCACAATGAACTTTCCTCTGTCCTAGTCATCTTGACCCGCCAGCATTTTTCATTCATTTATAGTTTCACATGCCGATTGTTTTGAAGATATTCAGGACATGTTAACGACGGGTGCAAAGTGTACACATCAATGATGTATATTACTGCTTTATATCTGGTTGTTACCATGTCCATCCTCTGATATGCTGAACCATATTTTGAACTATATCTGTATTGTGTTGCTGAGGGCATAATTGGTACCAAATATTAAAGCTTCTCTTATGCGAGTGATAAGTGAATTATATTTAGGTAGGTCACAGCATATTAGCGGCATAGGATTTGTCCCAAGTGAAATTTTGTTATAACGGTCAAGGGTTACTTTGTACAAACTATTGTTTAATGCAAGTCTGTGCTTTATTCATAATCATATTTATGAAGGAAAAAAACACTTAGTACAGTCTGATTGGCAGCTGTTTCTGGGGACCCATTAGCTGACAGGTAAATAACTATTTATTTCATTATTTTGCTGCTACAACTATTTGGTTTAGATTGAAATTAAATAAATTGAATCGGAATTTTGTTTCTCGACCCTCAAATTTTGGTTAAAACTGTGGTGGTATTTTCCCACTGAAATAACAAGAATGTCATCATTTGATATACAGTATATTATCCTTTTTAACCCCTGCACTGCGCACCTGTTTTGGGCAATTGTTAAGGACATATTTGTTTTTTTATATATATGTTCAGGTAAAGTTCATTTGAAATGTTTTTAAACTCTACTATTTTCATTTCAAAGCAATGACAAAAACAATAAAAAACATATAGCCCAATTAAAAAAAAAAGTACAACTCTCGGAATGAGATTTCTCGGTTGGCGCAGCACAGTGGTTAACAAGGAAGCTGTTACTGTTGAATTCCTTGGTCCTATTATTTAAAAACCTGGATGGTAAGAATAGGGACCGTGGAGGACATTAAGGCAAGAATACTAATTACCTAAAATTTACAGAAAACTGACACTGCAGTCTAGCTATAATGGGGGGGGGGAAAGGGCAGCTGGAAGGGAACGGAACTATCGGGAAAGTGCCAAGCCATTATGACTATGTAGCACTTTGACCTCTCGGGTCAGAATAGGGATTTGACTATGATGCCGACGGCCTCATTCTGGTTGCTTCCAGCAATTGTTTAAATTATATTACAATCTTAAAATTATATCAAGACTTCACATGATTGTTAAATATTATTTTATTTGTTCCCAACATACTTCACAAGTGAATAAATTTGTGCAGAGTGCATAATATTGTGAAAGGAGAGGCTCATTTTACTTGACTTCTCTGAGGGCATTCTTCATGAAGTTGGGCATGACAAATGAAGCGCGGTGAATTTCTGCGTTATAATACTCGAGGGAGAGAGAGTTTGCCTTCTCGTCATCCCACACTGTCACAGGTTCTCGGAAGTTGGTTGCCTGCAAAGTAACCAAATATTGCACACTAGTAAAATTTGTAACAATTTCCCATACTAAATGAGCAGGCATGTGTAAATCTAATCATATAGAATGTTTATTTTATATAGTTGCACAAGATAAATGATAAATTTTTAGGTGAAGCCCTTTAAAAGACTTTGCAAAACTTATTATAATGATGTCCCTTGCTATTTCCAAACAAATCCAAAACACCCAGACAAAAATCATTTCAAACTGTCGCATGAAGGGCAACAACAAAGAAAATGTCTGTGAAAGATTTAATCACATCTACCTTACTGCCCAAGCCTCCAAATCTCAATTTCAAAGGAAAAAGGGCCCAGATTTTTCTGAACAAAAACCTCTGAGGGGAAACCAAAAACATACAATTGGGTTTTAAATACAGTATGCTCAGTGGCTTTCCTAAGGCCTAACTATTTCTTGCCTCCATCTATAAACTCAGTCCCATCATCCTATCTTGAGGTTATCTTGAGATGATTTCGGGGCTTTAGTGTCCCCGCGGCCCGGTCCTCGACCAGGCCTCCACCCCCAGGAAGCAGCCCGTGATAGCTGTCTAACACCCAGGTACCTATCTTACTGCTAGGTAACAGGGGCATAGGGTGAAAGAAACTCCACCCATTGTTTCTCGCCGGCGCCCGGGATTGAACCCGGGACCACAAGTCCCGCGTAATGTCCACTCGGCCGACCGGCTCCTAAGCAAATCCCCACAACCCCTGCTTCAGCGAATTGAGGTTCGTTGAATAGAAATTCCACTGTACATTATATATGACCCTATTACACTTATATTTTACATTTTAAGAAGGTAAATAATTATACATATTCTACTCACAGAATTTTTACTACAGAGAATGAAGCCAATCTGTCCTGAGGGATATGTTGGTGTGCATGTGTGTGCGTACTCCACTACAGGGAAGATCTTGCGGCAGCTTGTCACCAAGCGACTGATCAACTCAGCATGGAGCCACATGCTCTCACCCTAAGAAATAGTACAATTATGTTAGTTATTTTAATTTCAGGGTGAACTTATATTTGCAAATTTATAAAATATGTACCATCCAATTTTTTTTAAATTGAAGATAGATTAGTAGTGAAACTATGAGATGAAACTTTATTGTGACATCTTGCCTCTCAGGGCTTCATATATACATGTCCACCATTGTATGTATGACACCCCCTGCCTCATGTATGGAAGAAAAATATGTAAGACTGTGGATAAATTTGTTCCAGACATATTGCCTGTCTATCTCCGTGGCAGCAGATCTGGTATTCCCTATAACAATCCCATCTATCTTTCTGAATTCTAGTCCACATTGTCCCTCTGCAGTTCTACGGCAATGAGCTCGGACAGCATTCTTATGGGATGCTGTCCCATAAGAATGCTGCTGCCCCACCTCCTCCCCCCCTTGCTTCACTGACCTTGCTCCCCTCCGCCTTCAGTAACATTATCCTCATATACCTTGATACTAACACTACATCCCTAAACCCACTATTTCTAACTTGCAAACAAAAATTTTAATTTTGTTTAAGATGAAATGTAGACCAGCAGGAAATAATTTAATATCCATTCAAAAAGTTGTAGTTGAGACATTACAATAACAAGCCATTACAGTAGAAGCTACCAACCTGACAGCACAGGATTCCTCCTGGAGCTAACTTGTCCTTCATCCGAGAATAATAATCTTCATTGAACAGCGACACTGCTGGACCTAGAACAATGTTTATTAAACCAATATTGTATTAAGATTATATAATTAAGGAAAAGTTGATTTTTTTTAAATACTATAATATGATGAATATAAAATGTTTTATTTTTTGAGTGAAGTTGTTCCCGGATGTTGCATGAGCCTAAATGGGCCGGGGAGGTGGTGTCTCCTGCCCCACGCTGGGCCGGGGAGGTGGTGTCTCCTGCCCCACGCTGGGCCGGGGAGGTGGTGTCTCCTGCCCCACGCTGGGCCGGGGAGGTGGTGTCTCCTGCCCCTCGCTGGGCCGGGGAGGTGGTGTCTCCTGCCCCACACTCATGACCTCACCCCTCACCCTTCGTATACCTGCTGCCTATTACCAGTCGCACTTGCATTTATAATTAAAGTTTTTAGGGAACATGGAAAGCACCGATCCCATTTTTGAAGTATTGAACTGTATGGATTGCCCGGTGCTGGCTTTGTAACAACATACCAATTTCTAAAATCAGTACTAACATAACACACTACAGTGTATCTTTTTGAACATATAGAAATACATATGTGCAATGTCTCCCTTCCCTAATTACATGACAAGACCATTGGAGATGTTCCTTGTTATGGTATGAGGGGTATAAGGTTGTCAAGAACCTGTTGGGTGACAACGTTCTGGGTGAACCATATAGGCTCCTATGTCATTTTAAATTAGTAAGGTGTCAGAGGATTGGTAATTAGTACTGGAAATTAAATGGGAAATTTAGATGATATATGTGAAAGAAGACTGATAATATTGAATGAAGACAAAAGGAAGGAGACAAAAGGAAACTCAAGTGTGTGAAATATGGGTTAATGATGAACTGTTGGAAGTGGTCATTTAGTTTATTACCTCAACTCTGTAACTGTCCAAACATAAATTTGTGCAGAAGGTGAGAGTAGATAAGCCTGGATGATGTGGCATGGCACAAGGAAAGCCTGGATGATGTGGCATGGCACAAGGAAAGCCTGGGTGATGTGGCATGGCACAAGGAAAGCCTGGGTGATGTGGTGTGGCACAAGGAAAGCCTGGATGATGTGGCATGGCACAAGGAAAGCCTGGGTGATGCGGCATGGCACAAGGAAAGCCTGGGTGATGCGGCATGGCACAAGGAAAGCCTGGGTGATGCGGCATGGCACAAGGAAAGCCTGGGTGATGTGGTGTGGCACAAGGAAAGCCTGGGTGATGTGGTGTGGCACAAGGAAAGCCTGGGTGATGTGGCATGGCACAAGGAAAGCCTGGGTGATGTGGCATGGCACAAGGAAAGCCTGGGTGATGCGGCGTGGCACAAGGAAAGCCTGGGTGATGTGGTGTGGCACAAGGAAAGCCTGGGTGATGTGGCATGGCACAAGGAAAGCCTGGGTGATGCGGCATGGCACAAGGAAAGCCTGGGTGATGTGGCATGGCACAAGGAAAGCCTGGGTGATGCGGCATGGCACAAGGAAAGCCTGGGTGATGTGGTGTGGCACAAGGAAAGCCTGGATGATGTGGCATGGAACAAGGAAAGCCTGGGTGATGCGGCATGGCACAAGGAAAGCCTGGGTGATGTGGCGTGGCACAAGGAAAGCCTGGATGAGGTGGCATGGCACAAGGAAAGCCTGGGTGATGCGGCATGGCACAAGGAAAGCCTGGGTGATGTGGCGTGGCACAAGGAAAGCCTGGGTGATGTGGCGTGGCACAAGGAAAGCCTGGGTGATGTGGCGTGGCACAAGGAAAGCCTGGGTGATGTGGCGTGGCACAAGGAAAGCCTGGGTGATGTGGCGTGGCACAAGGAAAGCCTGGGTGATGTGGTGTGGCACAAGGAAAGCCTGGGTGATGTGGTGTGGCACAAGGAAAGCCTGGGTGATGTGGCTTGGCACAAGGAAAGCCTGGATGAGACGCAGCTGCAGGACTCGTTAAAGAGTGGCAGGTGTTGCCATCATGTGGGCATGAGAACAGAACACATAAGTCACAGCAGGAGGAATGGACACACCAAGATGTACTTGTGGTAGCAGAAAGATACACAGAGGTAGAATACCTTTTTATTCTTTACTATTTCCATGATGACTTCAACAAATCATTGGATTGAAGAAAGTGTATTGAGATTGTTTGGTCACACTGAATGAATGGATGAGAAAGTGGTGAAGGATGAATATTTGAACTAAGTCTAAGGTAATCCAAGGAGAGAAGGTACTCCTACTACCTTACTCTTCACTATATAAACTACCAAATGGTATTACATCTTACCATCTTTAGTTTCTCCATCATCAATGCCAACCACGGGATCTGACGCATCAGTGATAATCACATCAAATTTAGCATCTGTCTTCTCCAAGAACTCTGCACCATCTCCAGTATGCAATGTCAGTTTAGGGTTAGAGAATCCACAGCCCATAGATGGCACAAAAGT